GTGTGTAAAAAATGTAATGTTGGGTTTAGAAAATTCAACAATCCATCAATGAGGATTCAATTTTTCTTCCAGTGTAACAGTAAAGTTATTGTCAATTGTGTATTCATCTGGATAACTGCACTTTTAAAGTGACGGTACATGTAAGTGCTCTGACTGAATGAGGGCAGAAAAGTAAAAGACAACTTCATGACTCATATGCGAACACTGCATATAGAATATACCATTTGGCGGATATGTTACAGGGTTATCTTTAGATGATTGCTCTCTCATCACTGTTGCAATATCTGCCTTGTGACATGTACAAGAGAGGGTTGATTAATTTCAGAATCTACTCAAAGAGCCACATTGGCAGTTAATTATATAGGTGTAGAGTTTATATACAGTTTTCCCGAGTGCTTAGTTATCAATTTTTTTTTCATTAATTTAGTGTCACTGGCTCTGCACCTTGTAAAGCTAATGTGTTTTGTCTTTTTTCAACACAGAGAATACACGCCACGGTCCTGTCTTCACCCAGGAGCCCAGTGACAGTGTCTTCCCACTGAGCACGGATGATAAGCACGTGTTTATTAATTGCAAAGCAAAAGGAAACCCACCTCCTCATTACAGGTAATTGTACTGACTGTCTATGGTGAGACTAGAGTGAGGCGTCTGCAGATGTGTGGTGCAGAGCAATACTGAGCTGTGTCTGTTCACGAGTTGTGTTACTGTATTTGCCGTATCGAAGTCATTTGTGAATCATAAAGAAGGCAGTTAAATGTTTAACCACATGTTCTTGGGGGATCTTTTCTGTTTCACTTACAAATGATTCTTACTTTTCTGCATCCACAGTTGGAAGGTGGACAACAGAGAAATAAACACAGAATCCGATCCAAACTACAGCCTAGTCGAGGGAAACCTGTTGATCAATAACCCTCACGTGATCAACCATGGAGGCGTGTATCAGTGCATCGCCACCAACACATTTGGGACCATTGTCAGCAGGGAGGCAAAAGTCCAGTTTGCATGTGAGTCGATATTATACAGATTTTGTTTATATTGTGACAGACATAAAGTTTTGCCTTTTTCGTTGGATTTGTTGTAATATGATGCATCAGAATTTACTCCTATGGACAGTCATATACTTTATCAGCTGGTTGATTGAGGATTTAAATGAAATGGTCGGTAACTTATAAACATATGGGAATACAAAGCTCTGGGAATGTTCCTATCATCTGAAGGTTTTTTGCAACATCGTGCAAAACAGCACTCAAAATATTTGAACTCAAGCTAGGTCAGGGAATTAAGCGAATTACGCAATTTCTGCGGTGCACAGCATGTGCATCTATCTGCATGTAATATAACTGCACGAAAAATTTGCTCCACATTTTGTGTGAACGTACCATTACTCTGAATTACTGAATCCATGCTAGGAATGGTATAGTAGCCAGGATGTGAAGTACCTCCACAACTGTTAGCTCTTTGATAACAACATTTGCTGCACTTATGGTTATCTCCAGAAAAGTATGCTGAGGACTTTGATGGTGCACCATCAACAGATGTTTGTCTTTGTGTCAATTAATTCATGGCATGATAGCAAGCAGCATTTACACACACTATTTTTATTGAGGTAACAGGCTAAATTGCTTTTTTTTAGCTTAAACTTTCTAAATAACTTTTTTCCCATGAATTTATAACCTGAATAGGTCACATGTGTAATTCAATCGTGTACGTTGCTTTTCTACCTTTTTTAACAACATCTTACAAATTTAGTGCCAATGAGCAAAAATACCAACAAGTGGCCTCACAGAGATTCCCATGGCTCTCACTGCAAGTTATCAGATTTATGGAATTTCTAAATGAATTTTTCCGACTGATTATCTGCTATATCAACTTGATTCAGTTTAATTTGTATGGCTCCAAATTTCAACATACATTATCTCGAGGCACTTAACATTGTAAGGTGGAGACCTAACACAAGTTTTGGAGAAACCAACATATCTGAGAGATGTTACCTCTTCATTCACGTCTGAGGCACCAGTGGAACACTGAAGGAATGAGGATTGTTCTGTATGTGTTGATTTTGGGAGCAGTTTTAATCAAAGTGAGTTGAGCTTTGACCAATGCTGATATTTGCCTGATCCCTCCTGAGACTTGGCTGGTATTTCAAAGACATTTGACTGAAATATCTCTCAACTGCCTCTTTTTGTTCCTCAAACACAGCACAGCAGCATTTAATTAAAGGTGGAAGTAATCGCTTAAGCTCAATCCGCCTGATCTCATGTGCACGTTGTGATATTAACAGGGGGAATCTTGGCTTTGACTTGTCAGTGATGTGAACAGACAGGAAATATCCTGCAGAATGAAATGTCCTTCCCTGGATGTCACCTCTAGGTAAAAGTTATTACAGCTGTCAAACCCTGAAAAGTTGAATTTTTTTTTTTGTTTCATACTCAACAGTTCTGCAGAACTTCAGCAGGAAGTCCAGGAACACGGTGTCAGTGAGAGAGGGTCAAGCTGTGGTTCTGCTCTGCGGCCCTCCACCCCATTACGGAGGTACAGCACTCTGTCCTTACTCTTCTGCTGGAGTCTCATGCTCCTGCTTACCTCAGCAATCTCCACGGTTACTCACTCTTCTGCTTATTATATCCATGTACCACTGCTGTGTCTCTTTTGTTTTTCTGCCTTCCCACCTTCAATTTCTGCTGCTCTTCTTTCTCCAACTCTGTTTTCCACTCACTCCTCTTTATCTGTCAGACAGGGAACTTTTTATGATCATCCACCGCTCCATACCTGCTCAGACCCATTCCTTCACACCTATAGTTCATTGCCTCACACTTCTTAACCTTGAGCTCACTTTTCTCGGCCATATGATCTGTGACCACGCTGTCATCTATAAAGTCTCCAGTGCTCCACTTCCCCGACTGTCGTTTTTTTTTTTTTTCCCCTCCTCGGTGTGTGCAGGTTATCTGTGTGTAATAAAGGCTGCTGGTGGCTGCTGTGACTGGGGGAGCATTTATCCTGTGGCACAGCTGTGAGTCGGCTCATGTGTCTGTGTGCTGCTGATTAGCAGGCCCTCAAAGTGGTCCGCACTCCTGCAGCCATTCGGTGCCTACCAGCACAATTTCACGCCAGCACACCAGCCTTCTCTCCGCTCTCTGTTTCCAGCTGAATCCCGTGGCCACGTGGGATTCCACACTTTAGCAATTTGCCCTCCAGCCTTCCCTCCACCCCCCTCTCAAAGCCTCCATCTCTTTATTTTTCCTCTTAAACAGAGCATAGTCACACATTTGATGGGATTTGCTCGACATGTCAATGGTAGCTTGAGGTATGTTAAAATTGAAAAGCGGTGAAGATTTGTGTGGGGGTTTTTTTTTTGTCGCCATGAGGTTTGAATTATGTCAAAGCTTCTTTAATGCTTGTCGATGCACCACTTAAGTAATATAGTGATGCACCTTATTAAAAGAGGAATCATCTGACGCATCTTTGAGCAATCAATAGGTAAGTAGTCTAAAAGGAGCCGAGCTGAGAATTAAACTGTCAGAGGACACAAGATTATGTGCCTGCAAGTCCTCTGTTGCTGTGAGACTGGAGCTCTTTAACACATCCAGTCTCTGATAGTCCCTAATCATGAAAGGTCTGTCAGTAGCTGCCTTGACTTTCCCTGTAATGATTTTAATTCAGTGTTTTCCCTCCAGGAAGTGACTGTGACTTTTTGACGTCTGCCCAGTCAAAAGGGCTGACTGCAGATTGTCGGATACAAGAGGACTGCACTATCAGTCAAGTTCATTCTACAATCCCTGCAGACATCTCTCACTCTGTGTGTGTGTGTTTGTGTGTGTGTGTGTGTGTGTGTGTGTGTGTGTGTGTGTGTGTGTGTGTGCGTGTTTTACATTTATACACTGACACAAATCCTTCTTGTTAAGTTGACAAGAGTTTGAGACATTACAAAACAAATGTTTCCTGTAAAAACATAAAAAGCAAATAGTAGAAGACACTAATGCAAGCAAATACTGAATAATAAGCAACCTTTTGACCTTGCATGTTAGCAAGTATCTTTTGTGAATTTCATCTTTGCCCCCTATATTTAAACATCATGAGCCATTAGCGGTGTCAAAGCGGGTGTTCAGTCTGAAAACAGACCTGCATTCAAAGACATGTGGCTTCAGTTACCTTTGAAACATGGAATACAGAAGGCAGTTATAAGCAATAGTATTGTGTCTCAGAAATCTTGTTAGATAACACATCACTTATTTCATTATACTCAGAGACAGGATGTTACAGTACTAGAGTTATTGTTAAGATAAAATATAAAAAACAGGTAAATGATTTTGTCTACACTCCACATTAGTCTATTGATTGCTTGAAGAACATGTTGCATTGTGATGCTGCAATAGTTGAGCCAGGTTCCACTTCTAGACAGGATGACCCTGCATTCTTTTGCCAGAGCCCCTGTGTCTGCACACACAGCAGTCCAATTCAAAAGAGTGAGCTGACTGCATTATGCCTCACAGCGCCATTGTCTGTATGAACTTGACCTCAGTCCATCTCTCAATACGTCCAGACTTGCACAGACTTCAGTACCCTGTCTGTGGCACTCAGGCTCCAACCAGTTCAGTCCTGTTAAAGATGGAACTTGAAAAAACAGATTTTTTGATTTTAGAAATTTGTTGGTTACTTTTTGTCACAGATTCTTTAAGGATATTTGACTTAATTGGAAGGATTAAAAGCATAATTGCAAAGATATTCCATGATCTGGTGTTTTGCTGATTGTCTTGAGAAGGCAATCTACCTCATCACCGCATGCGTAACCACATAGGACCCCTAGACATTGCCTAAGGGCCTATTAAAGCTCCTATCACACCCTCGACAAGACTCTTAGAAAATCCTAGAGGACTAATAGAACTTCCTTATTGGCCACTACAACCTTCCAACTTCCCCCTGAGTCGTGTCATTAACCAGTGAAACTTCCAAAACTACATGTAGAACATTTTCAATGACCTTTAGTACCTCCAAAGAGCTTCTAGAAACTCCCAGAGTACCCCTGGAACTCCTCTTCTTCTTTCTCAAAGACCGCCATAACCTCCTGAAGGACCACTAAAAACTTCTCCTTGGAATACCAAACCCCCAAAATCATCCAAAGAACCTCTTCACTGGCCACCTAAATCTTCTAAACAACCTCTGCAACGACCTGAAGGAACTCTAGAACCTTCTCAGTAACTACTTGTCCCATGGGAAGGACTCCTACAATGTTCTGTTAAAAACGTATTGATATTGTGAATGAAATAAAATTAAAACCAAACATTAAGTGTGTAATTTGAACAGCAGTCAATGTGTTGGCTGTGGTAGAAATAGTCAGATATCAAGACTGAATCTTTACGGCCAGACGTCTTCGTTTGAGCATCTCTAAACTGACCAACCTTCTCGTCTGAGGAGGGACAAGCTGTGGACTGGAGACGTGATGATGAGGGATGATCTGGTACACGTCTGATCCATCGCAGCTCCAGCTTGTGACTTAAAGGACTTAAACGGATATGCTGCCTTGATGCCTTGGGGCACTTTCAGAGGTCTCTCAGAGTCCATGCCTCAGCAGGTTGGAGATGTTTTGGTGGCAAGTACCAGCACCTTTCGAGGCAGGGGTGCTCATAAGTGTTTTTCATTAACTGATCCTTTGTCCCGATGGCAATTTTTATTGCTTTGTATAGGTCAAAATGCTATTTTGCTGAGCCTTACATTAGCCAGACTTAGCAACACACGGCAGTATTTTATTGGATCAATTAAACAGTTGTCTTGTCTTTTTTCCATGGGATTTATTTAGAAAAAGGAAAATATAGAATATCACCTGCCTCATCCTTTGAAGTCATCCTATATCTATATTTCTGGCAGGGGAATGGAATTTCGATATGTAATAGTATATTTCCTCTATATGTGTTACAGGTCTTGCTGTACTGGAAGTACACGTTTATATCTCTTTTATGTCTCAATATCCAAAATTCACGGCCTATTCTTTATTTGTTTGTTCAGAGATCAAATATTCATGGGTTTTCAACGGACAACGCAGCTTCCTGCAGCAAGACGCTCGCCGTTTTGTCTCTCAGAGGACGGGCAACTTGTACATAGCCAAAGTCGAGGCCTCGGACGCTGGGAACTACACGTGCGCGGTGAGAAACATGATGACCAATGCGACAGTGCTCAGCTCCCCAACCCCTGTGGTGGTGAGGAGGGACGGTAAGCATCCTCAGTTCGCCTCTGCTGCCTCCTGGTTATCTTGCGCACTGAACTGACACACACTGTCGGAGGGAGGGCGAGCCTGGGAGATAAATCGCTTGTCTTGAGCGTGACACTGTTTTTGCTTTTGCTTACGAGCAAGGCTTTTGCACCATCCCAGAGCCTCTGAACTATAGAGGGCTATGCATGCGAGAAACCCTCTCTGTCTGCATGAAGGCACATATTTACATAACCAGAAATGAAGTCAGGCACACACACACAGTGAAGAGATTGCCACACGTACTAAACCTCATCAGGACCATTTATGTGTACCACTTCACATTTCAGCTGAGACAGATATGTAATCCAGACTCATCCATCCGCTAAGCCAAACGCTTGTTGTATACGCCGTCAACACTCGCTTTCTGCCAGTGTCATCTGCACCTTGGCTCCTAGATCCTATATGAATTACAGGAAACAGCATGCCCATGTGTTGTGTTTTGAGCGATTTGATTTGCTTTAATCCCTCATGCAGTAGTGATGGGTGAATACGAGCCAAAGATGGAGGTTCAGTTTCCTGACACCCTACATGTCTCCAAAGGATCCTCTGTGAAGCTGGAGTGCTTTGCCTTAGGAAAGTAAGTGTCAGAAACATTAGCACACTGCAGCTCTACCCCTCAAATTGCATTGTGTAACTTGTGAAGAGGCCAGACATCCTCTATTGCAACAAACAGACTGACAAACATGGCAGCGGTCCTTCTGGTCAGCGTGAGTAGGAGCATGTGGCCAGCGTGACCTTTTTGTGTGTGTGACCTCTGCAGCCCCGTGCCTTCCATCTCATGGAGAAGAGCTGATGGAAATCCACTCCCTGGCAAGATTAAAATCAATCACGCCGGTGGGGTTCTGGAAATTCCATATTTTCGCCCAGAGGATGCTGGTGTGTATGAGTGCGTAGCCGAAAACAGCAGAGGACGAAATGTTGCCAGAGGGCAACTCATATTCCACAGTAAGAACCATGTAAACTTTTGCTTTCTGTCTCTCTGAAATACTCTCTTATATCCTTCGCCTCAGTATTACAGATTTTGGTATTTGTTGGTAAGTGTTTATAAAGTGTTTTATTATTTGTTCTATCCAAAGTGAAAAAAATGAAATAGCATTTTAATGTCAAGATAATTAGGGCTTGATTTGTGCTTCTTATCTCTTTGCAGCTTCTAGTGGTTGTGACATTAAAGATCTCCCCTGGCATACTTAGTACATCTTTTGGTAGAAAATGAGATTGCTCACATGCCAGCATTGGTCTAACACATCTGTAGAATCAAAAGGGAGTGGATGTCTAGCTGAAAGCTTTGAAATGAGTTGTATTTGTAAGTTGTCAAGAAGCCAACATCTACTGTCTGCATCAGTGAATATTCTTCAGACTGTTCCTGTCTTCTGTGGTTTCTGTGTTGACAGAGAATTAAAAATACTGATATCAGCCTGTAAATTAGGTCGAGAATTTCTGTTTTTTGATTAAAGGTCTAACTTCTGTGGTGGTAAAACTAAACTGTAAATTGTTGTTGCTGAATAGGATAAGTTTGTCTGTGAAATCTCATAAAAAAAGACTCTTCAATGTTATTTACAATATATATACAATTATTTTATTCATCTATTCGTTCATTTGATGGGGACGGAGCACATTAATGAACATTAGTATAAAATAAACATGGTAATATGTTGTCCCCTGGCAGGTAAGAAAAACAAACAAAATAATATTAAGCACATGAGGCCGATACAGTGCAGATAACAAATACTGACA